AGGAAAGCCTGGGACCAGATGGATTCATACCTGACTTCTACCAGACTTTTAAAGAAGAACTGTTCTAATTATTCCATGAAATAGAAAAAGAAAAAATACTCCCGAAACTTTTATGAATCAGGGATCAAACTAATACTAAAACCAGATAAAGATATATCAAGAAAGAAAACTAAAAACCAATATATTGATGAACGTAAACACAAGTTATTCTTAATAAAATATAAGGGTAGTATTTTCAATAAATGGTGCTGGTAAAATTTAATATCCACATGTGCAATAATGAAGCTAAATCCCTCTCTCTTGCCAGTTTCAAGGAACAAGTTATGTGATTTAAAGACTCTTATATAAGAAACTGAAACTATGAAACCACTAGAAAAAAAACAGGAGAAATTCTTCAGAATATTAGAATGGAAAAGGATTTTTTTTTGCACAAGACCCCAAGAGCCTAGAAAAGGAAAGCATTAATAGACAAATGGGATTATATCAAACAAAAAAGTTTCTACACTGCAAAGTAAAAACTCAACAGAACACTGAGGCAACCTACAGAATAAAAGAACATACTTTCAATATATATATTTGATAACTGGCTCAATACAGAAAATATGTTACTGCAAAAATTAAATTATAAATAAGTAACCCAATTGAAAAATGTGTAATATGGGTCGGGGTTGTGCCTCAGTGGTAGAGCGCTTGCCTTGCACACATGAAGCCCTGGATTTGATCCTCAGCACCACATAAAAAAATAAATAATTAAAAATAAAGATATTTTTTTAAAAAGAAAAATGTGTGATATATGTAAATAGACATTTCTCTTCTTTTTCCTCCTGTTTTTTCTTTTGGTATTTGGTTGAACCCTGGAGTACTTTACCACTGAACTACATCCCCAGTACTTTTTTTACTTTTCATTTTTAGACAGTATCTCACTGAATTGATGAGGGTGTACCTTAGATGCTGAGTATGGCCTCAAACTTGTGATTCTCCTGCCTCAGTTTACAGAGTTGCTGGGATTATAAGTATACACCAGTATGCCCAGCACTGAATAGACATTTTTCAAAGGGAGATACAAATAGCCAACAGGTACATGAAAAAATGTTCAGCATCACTATAATCAGGGAATTACAATTCAAAACTGAAATGAGATACAATCTACCCAAGTAAGAATGACTAATATTTAAAAGAATAAAGATAACAAGTCTTGGTGAGGATGTAGAGAAAAAGGAACAGTTTTTAGGCACGCAAATTATTAAACCCACTATTTATTTTCTCATACATGAATAAAGTAATCAAATTCTATAGCTGGTTATTCTCTTCCTTGTCTCTGCATATGAGAGCTTTGAGCTGCTGAAATGATTGGGAATGATGTGAAGTAAGGTCTGTCCAAGACACAGAGGAAAATGGAAATGATGCCATTAGCTTAGATTGCTTTACTAGCTGCTGATTTGAATTGTTTTCACAGCTTGCATGTGTTAAAGGTTTAGAAGTTCACTTGGCACAAAACCCTGATTTGGTTTGATCTTCATGTCCTGGGCAGGACTTGTTAGTTGAAGACTGGATACTAGAGTATATGAGTTCTTTCAATGCTCATACTTGCAAATTTGGGACTTGAATTTTACACTATCTCTGTAGTTGTGGCCTTGTGAGCCTTCCCCTCCTCCCTTCTCTCCTTTAACTTACTCATTTGACTACAAATGGGGACTTGAACTCCTCAAGTCTTGACCAGGGGTTGGGGGGTATGGGGGTAGTTGTTGGGTTTTATGTATATATATATTTTTTTGTTTTTAGACTGGCTGTATATAATGTAAAATTATAAATGTATAATATATTATTTTTGCACAGTGTTATCAGTTTAACTGAGTCAGGGGATGGGGGCAGTTAGCATGATGGAGCCAGGAAGGGACACATTAGCTAGGGATAGAGTGCTTCAGTTCCAGGTAGTCTGCACAATAACTAATTAACCTTCCTATTGAAAATGCCAAATGTGTAGTTACATTACTTTAAATGATGTTGAATTGGAATTTAATAGCAGTCAGTTCTGGACACAATATTTTGATCTTAGTTGAAAATTTTTGAAAGGGAAAAATAAACAAAAATTTAAACTTATTGATTTTTATCCTCTGATATTATGGGGAATCAGAAAATTTCATGTGGCTAGATGCTGCTACCCTTTAAGTACCCAAGACTATAATTTAGACCTTCTCAAAGGTAGACTCTTGTTTCATAGGGAACTATTTGTATGTTTGTATACACTCACACATAATTGCCTCAGTAAAATAGAAAAAAAAGCACATTCATGTGTTGGACTTCTATTTATATTTTGATTCCAAAAGCTATTTGCTTACTTGCTATGGTTTGTTAATTCCAGGCCTAACTTAAATGGCTTAGTAGCAAATATGATAAATTTAAATGTGTTTACATTTTAAGAAGTATGCAGTGATACTTACAGAGCAGATAATTAACTCCAGATGCAAATATTAAACTACACATTTTAAAAAAAAGCTGCTATGGAGGTTCCTCAAAATATTAAAATTTGAACTACTACATGATTGAATAGTTCCACTCTTGGGCATATATCCAAAGGAAATGAAATTAGTATGTCAAAGAGACATCTGCACTGTTTTGTTAATTATACTACCAGGCTCAATAACCATTGATAAAGAAAATGTGGTACATATTCACAATGGAATACTATTAACCTGTGAAAATAATTGAAACCTGCCACTTTTAACAACATAAATGTAACTAGAGATCATTATGTTAAATTAAAGTGAGACAAGAAAGACAAAACCTGCATTATTTCACTCATTTGTGCATCCTAATGAATTGATCAAATTAATCAAATTTAGTGTTGAGTAATGGTAGGGGGTCCAGAACAGAGAAAGGGTGAGGGATGGGGGAAATTTGATCAATGGTTTTTAAGTTACAACAGAATGTACCAAGAAGCTATAAGGTATAATTGTATAGTATGGAGACTGTAGATAATAATTATGAAATAAATTATATACTGTATATTTGAAAAAGCTAGAAGAAAGGATTCTGAAAGTGTTTGCCACAAACAATAAATTTTGAGGAGATAAATGTGTTTAATCTGTATAAACATCATTTAGTGAATATATATATATATATATATATATATATATATATTGAACATTTCATGATACCCCATTAATATTCATAACTTTTGTGTTTTGTGTATAAATTAAAATATTATAAAACAAAATATCACAGTTGCCTGACCCTAAACAAATTGTCAATTACCAAGGCACAGTGGCACATGCCTGTAATTCCAGGGACTCAAAAGGATGAGTCAGGAGGATTACAATTTCAAGGACAGTTTTAGGAACAAACTGAGGCCCTAACAAGTTAGTGAGACCCTGTATCAAGATAAAACTTAAAAAGGCCTGGGGATGTTGCTCAGTGGTTAAATACTCCTGAGTTCAATTAAAAAAAAAATCTGTCAAGCAGCCCATTTTTGATCCTTTTTTCCTTCTCCAGTCTCTTATGAATTCTATGTCCTCATGCTTTCTTTCAACTTGGCCTCAAAACAAAACAAAACAAAACAAAACATAAAAACAAAAAAACAAAAAATCACCAAAAAACCTGTCTTTCAGAAGGAACCCCAATATTTTCTTGCACTTAAAAGAAAACATACTTCTTAACACTTGTAGATCTCTCAGGGAAAATTTCTCACAGGCAAAGAATAAATCTTAAAGCCAAATAAATTACTTTTAAACATTAACATATTGGAAAAGGAAGTCATTTCTCAGACAAAAGTGGCTCCTCTTTTGCAAATGGTAATCCTAATTGTTTGAGCCTCTAAAACGTCTTTCAAATCCATACTAGCTCAATCTACCTAGAATTAAGGAAAACAATTTCTATGATTATTTCAGCCTCAACTAAAAACTCCTGATAATCTGTAAGTGTGGAGAGGGTGAGCATGTTTTTCTTTCCCAAAGGAAAAAAAAGATTAAACAGATATAACCAAGGCAAAAATTGTGGGCCCAAGTTTACATTTGGTGGAATGAATTGAGGTGAAGTATTTCCCAAACAGTGACATTGTAAGATGAATTTATCTGTGTCACTACTTGACATTAATAATTTCAAATAATTTTAACTAATAAAGTATATTAACACCTGTTTTCCTAGTTGATTAGAAATTTCAGAATATGTTATGATCTCTGCCCAAAGCAAAACTTCACAAAAGAAAAATAATATGGGAAGAGTGTTTCAACTAACAAAGGTTAGTAAAGAGACTAGATTTAACTTTAGAATGTACTGGGGAGTTACTTCTCATATTTGCTTATTATAAGATATCTTTTTCATTAGGTTCATGGGTTATCTTTCTCTCATATTCTAAAACATAATCTTATATAAGAAGCAGTTACTTATTTACTTGATTTTTATCCAATTTCATTTGTAAGCCACAAAATAATATTAATATATTTTAAAATTTATTATATGTTTACCTATATTTTATATAGAATACTATAGGAATTAGTATCCTAGCCTCAAGAAATGGGCTTGAGGTGATGGAGGAAACATAGAGAGAAATAGGAGTAGTCTGAGGTAGATCATGTCATGAGTTTAGAGTTGATCTTGTGGATGGAGCTGCCTTGGAGGGCTCTGGCACTTCTGAATGGGCACCTGTGTTGCACATTGAGCAAGTTACTTAACTTGCTTAAACATTGGTTTTCTGATGTGTAAAGTGAGAAAAATAAGAGTTACATTGGGTAAATGTGAAGAATAATGAGGTAACACTTTGACTTAGCAAAATATGTATTAACTAGTATAAATAGCAAACATTATTAAAATATTATTATTAATAATGCAGTCTGAAATTTCACCAAGTAAATTATTTAAGTATATTTGCAGCCCATGCCATTGCTGTTGATGGATAAAAATTGAAATCATTTAAGAGTACTGATAGATTAGTAGAATAAAAACAATAAAGAAATATATGGTAATCAATATGTTATAAAACAAAGTATTGAAAGACCACTTACCACATCTATGATATCAGATTCCATTTCATGGCTGAGATCAGACTACAAGCAAAAGGAAAACAGAAGTTAGTGTGTAATTATTGATATGAAATCTATTATTATATTTAAGGAAACAGAGCAAATATCAATATATTTATGTTTCAAACAATACATTTATTTCTAAGTTGCAGAAATTTATTATTTGGAATCTGAGGAAGCAGCTAATATGAGTCATTATCTCTTCACAGACAGCTGTATACATTTTCATTTATTTTGATTTTGATACACTTGGACTTATTCTTTCTTTATTATTTTATCTTATGTCTTTTATGGACTATGATATTTTTGGGCCCATTTACCATATTTCCTTGCATTCTACTGAATTACCTATTCCTCATTCTCTTGGTTTCCCCCCTATATTAGTCAATATATTACACATTCTATTTATGTACACTTAATATAAGAGTTTTATGCATCGCAGACTTAATTTGGCTAATCGACACATATATCCTTCTTTGATCAGGACAAAGATCTTAATATGTTCATACTCAAACCACCATTTTTCTATCTATTATGTTGCTATTATTCAATATTTCCATCCCATATTTTCTTCAATTGCCAAAATTAGTCTTCTTTACAGCTAAAGCCTATAACGACTAAAAAATATATTTTAATGATGTCTGCCACACCATAGCTTTAAAACAAACTTAATTTACTCATTTTATAATAAATAACATACAAATTCACTAATTACAATATACAACTTGCAGATATATTTTATATGTGTATGGCTGCATGATCACAAAAATGTAAGAATATTAAATGGTTCCCATACTCTAGAAAGGCTACATATGGTCCTTCTCAGTCTGTCTTCAAAGGAGTAGGAATATCCTAAATTATCTCTTGATGATTTTTCTGCTTTGAACTTCATATAAATGAAAACAGAGTATGCATTATGTTGTCTCTGGCTTCTTTCACTCACAGTACTATGTATAACAGTCATCTGGGTTGTTTCACACCACCCTTTCAGCTTTAAAAGACATATCTTTTCTCATTCTTCCAGTTTCATTACTCCTATGTTCTTATAATTAGAGTACAACTCTAATAAAATAATTTAAATACAATTTTATTTTCTTTTGTATTTTAATTTATATTAATTGGAATAGTAAACTTTTTAAATTTAAGGTAATTACCAATAGATATTCACTTATGTATATAATTTTATAGTATTTTGTCTTTGTTCCATCTGTTTTTTATTCCTCTTTTCAATTAAATATTTATAAGATTCTATTTCCTCTTGTTTATTAGGTTTTTGTCCATGTCATCTTTTGTTAATCTTTCCATGGTTAATCTAAAATATATTTTTAAAGTCTGGTTTAGAAAAAAAATTTGTGTTCCAAAAATATTTTCAGGGAATAATGTGAAAATTATCTTCATAATAATCTTAAAATCATATTTTTTTATTTGACGTTTTCATGAATACTCAGTGGTTTAATACAGAGGCTTATGGAATGTTGAGAGTATAATATTTTAAATGCAAATGCAAATAGGCTGTCTCCTATGAAAACAGAATTAATAGTATTTGAAATCTATTAAAAAACAATTCTTCTTAATTTTAGTTTAGTTTTAGAAAACCTGTTTATTTAACATATGACACCTATGTTAATACACAGTTGGCTTATTATAGCTGGATTTTTAAGTATGGGAAATATCAATAGATTTAACCCACATAAACAAACATTCTTTAGGACTACAAATATCCTTGAGATTAAATGACTCATTGCATCAAAAGTTTTGGTAACTGTTACACTACAGTTTGTAATATTTATCAATTTAATTAACTTGATCATTTTATCACTTCAAAATAATATCTAGAATTTTACATAAAGATTGGTCATTGTTGTCTTATTTTTGACATTATGAATTCCATATTTTATAAGACATTATTGTTATTTCTCTCCTAAACAGGTAATATTCATTTGTCTTTTGCCCATATATTTACTTTTTGTTGGGCCTTTCATTCCTTTCTGTGATTTCTTCTATATGAGATAATTTTCCTTCAGGCAGAGGAATTCTTTCACTTAGGTTCAAGTCTCCTGTGATAAATTCTTTCAACATTTATTTTTGTCAAAACATCTTCATTTTTATTTATTTTTTGAAGAGGATTTATGTATATTCAATTCTGCCATCAATTGCGAAGAACAGAATGCAAATTGGCATTTATTTTCTTTTACCAATTTAAAGATACTGCACAATTACACTCAATAGAGTAACACACTATCCTTATGCTTGGGACTATTCAGGTTTCATATCCAAAGACCTTTTCCTAGAACTCCCTTAGTCCTTGAAAAATTTGAACAGTTTCTCATCCTGTTTGGACTTCTGTTTCTTCTGCTAAAATTCAGCTCCCTAACTGTAGCTGCTTTCAAGAATGTGTCCTTTATCTAGCTGATAAGTTTTATATTTTATTTGTAAAGGAAAGACATTTATGTAGCTCACAGTTAAGGGGGTTCAAGAGCATAATGCCAGCATCTGCTTTGTTCTGGTATGGCAGTCAGAGTGGATGGCAGCACAATGATAGGAGTACATGTGAGAGTGGCAAGTGGTGCAACAAAAGAGATTCAGAGGTGGTTCCAGGCTCCCTCAGAACAACCCATTCTTGTGGAAATTAATCTAGTCCTAGGAGATCTCCATTTCCCTTCCAACACTGATGCCTCTTTTAATTTAATTTATTTATTTATTTGGGTACTGAGGATTGAACGTGGGGGCACTTGGCCACTGAGCCACATCCCCAACCCTATTTTGTATTTTACTTAGACAAGTGTCTCACTGAGTTGCTTAGCGCTTCACCATTACTGAGGCTGCCTTTAAACTCTTGATCCTCCTGTCTCTGCCTCCGGATCTGCTGGGATTACAGGCATGTGCCACCACACCCAGCTTAAATTTATTTTAAATGATACATAAAAACATAAAACTTGGGAGCTGGGGCTGGGGCTCAGCAGTAGCACACTTGCCTGGCAGTGTGAGGCACTAGTTTTGATTCTCAGTATCACATATAAAGAAATAAAATAAATGTCTTTCAACAACTAAAAAAATATTTTAGTAAAACACATAAAACGTGCATAATAATGGAGCTCCATGCATTTCAATGCATGTGTATATTATGTACTGTTTACATGTGGTTAATTTTCTTTGATTTTTCAATAATTTGAATAACTACCACAATGTATATAGGTAAGGTTTTACTTATTTATGCTTGTTGATTTGCTGAACTTTAATCTGTGGATTGATATCCATTGTCATATTTGAAAAAAAATTTCCCAAATTATCATTTCTTTAAATATTGTTTTTATTCCATTTTCACTTCCCTCACCTCTTAGAATTCCAATTACATGTATGTTGGACATTTTGAACATGTCATGCATCCTCTGTTGTCATTTCCCAGCTTTCTCTCATTGCTTTAGATGAACTATTTTCAGTTAACTTACCTTCAAATTCATTAGTATACTCTGATATTGAACCCATATATAAAAATAGCTCTTAATTTCAAATATGATATTTTCAGTTCCAATATATACAATTATTATTATATACACTTTATTATGTTTTAGAAATTTTCATTTTTCATCAATTTTATCCATCTTTTACTCAGGATCTAGAGTTGCTATAGTTAGGACCTAAAGCTTCTGGTTTTCAAAAAATATAAGAGAACATGAAAAAAAAAAGAGGAAATAGTGACTCATATATCCAGAGAAAAGCAGGGAATAAAACTGACTGTGAGAAGCTGGAAATTGTGGGGAGCTTTATTGGTCCATTTTTATCTTACTATAATAAAATCCTTGAGGTTAAACAAGGTATAAAGAAAAATTTTGTTAAGCACACAGTTTTGGAGGCTGAAGGCTAAAGATAAATCAGCCCTATGCATTTTAGCCTTTATTGAGAACCCTCTTGGCTTTGTCACAACGTGGTATAGAAATAGGAAAAACTAAGGCTAAGTGTATGGGGGTGACCTCACTTTCTAACAACCCACTCTTTTGAGAACTAACTGGGGCCCCATGGAAACTACATTAATCTCTTTCCAAGGACTTAATTTCCTCCAAAAAAGTTCCTTCAGTTAAAAGTTCTATTGCCTCTCAACTTTGTTACAATGGGGACTGAGCTTCCCTCATATGAGTCTCTCAGAGATAATTCATATCCAAACCATATCATGGGGAAATAGAGAAAAGATGATTAATATATACAGAGGTTATGATTGGATAATAACAAAAACTTCCATGTTCTGAATAAAAATAATATGGTTGACAGCATTTAATTGTATATTCAATTATATGCATATATAAGTATGTCAAAATAAATCCCAGAATCATGTATAGCTATAGTGCAGCAATAAAAAGGTAAAGGTATTTCAACAATGAGAAGAAATACCCAGTGACAGGATTTTGAATGTAACCAACACAAAGAAATGATAAATGTCTGAGGTGATGGATATACCAATTACCCTGGCCTTATCATTGTTCATTGTACATAGGTATGAAAATATCACACTGTACCATATAAATATTTAAAATTTATGTGTCAATGAAAAATACATTAATAAGAGTATAAGCAAGCCCAGATGTCAGATTTAACTAAAAAATTCTTCAGAGAAATTATTAAAATATGTTCAAAAAAAGAGAAATTTATAGACATTGTCTCATCAAATAAAAACATTAACAAATATATAAAAATTATACAGAAAAACTGAAATGTGTATTTTACATTTCAAAAATATAATAATTGGAAAGAAAAACTTAAAAGAGGGACTTAACATTTAATTTGAAGAGAAAATCAGCAAGCTTGAAGATAGAACAACATAGATTCTGCAATCTGAAGAATAAGGAAAAAATAAAAAAGAAAGGAACTGAGTTTCAATATAATATTTACATGATAAATATGCATAGTGGAAATATATATAGTGGGAGTACCAGAAAGAAAAAAAAAGAAAGGGATAGAAAATTTTCAAAAAATAATGGCTGTAAACTTACCATATTTGATTTTAAAATAGTAATATACATATCTAACAT